CCCACTCGATTAATTGACCGTCAGGATCGTAACCGGTCATAAACGTGCGAACACCTGGATCGAGCGAGATTACCTTTCCCCGAACATCATCTTGGTTATCGATAATGTCTAGAGGAACGGAAACACACAAGTAAAAATGTCCTAGGTGATTCATAGTAATGTTCACCATGTTATTAACCTTTAGTGATTGTTCTGAAGTGACGATATCCTTTAGAAACGCATATTCTCCTCTGTTCCTATTCCAATCCCTAGCAAGGATCGAGATGGTTTGTATTCGATCCTTCTTTGATCGGTACTTCATTCGAAAATTATTTCCATGCAACTTCTTGTTTGTTTTATATGCGCTCATTAATTGTCTGATCACGTATGAACGTACTTCCCTAGGAGTCTCTTTTACCCATAAAAGTTCTTTAGTTGTGAAACATTCATTGTTTAGGTAATGCCTTCGTATGACACTCATGTCAGTGATCCCATCATCCTGTACCATCTTAAGAACTTTATTGTATGTCCACCTCGCGGTTCCCATCCACTTTCTTAGCTTTTCTCTTTCTTCGGGCGTTGGATAAATCCGTATCTTTCGTGTTTTCAATCTCTCTTCGTCGTTTTCGATTTTCAGCTGATCTGAGTCCGTTGTGTCTTGCTGTAAAGATAGTAACGATTGATAATAGATCCTCGGCAAGCTCACCGGATTCGGTATCATCAACGTTGATGTCCGAACCGAGTACCACGATCTTTGTATCGTGTTTACTAAAGATCCATTCGACCAGTTCAAAAGCGAAACGGCAGAGACGGTCCTTGTGGGTAACCACAACCTCCTCGATATCTCTTTGGTACGATCGTTCCAAAATGGACGTAAAACCTTTGCGTTTCCAGTTGAGACCTGATCCGATGTCCTTGATGAGTTCGTGGTCTGGACATTTTTGCCTGAGGTACTCGCATTGCCTGTCGAGATCTTCTTTTTGCTTTTCTGAACTGACTCGTGCGTAACAGATCTTTTTCTTTTCATTTATTCTTTCTTGGTTTCCAAATATCTTCTCCACATCCACTACGGAATACAACCTGTTGCCACCAGGTGTTCTAATACTCGATATCTTCCCTTGGTTGTTCCACCTTCTCAATGTTTCAGATGAAATTTCGTATGTTTTTCGAATTTCTTGTGCTCCTCGATACTTTATTGTTGACATTATCTTGCTCATATTTGACAATGATGTAATGATGACAATTCGATATTCTTTGTCATTGATAATCAAAATAATATAAGATACTTACTATAATTAAAAATAACAATCAGTAAAATAAATAGCAAATAGAGATTTAATTATTAATATTGCATTGTTTACCAACCGTATTGTATCTGAAGAATAACGATGAAGCAACTTGTGGTCTGTGGAAGACAATTTACGATTACGCTTCATTAATTATAAAAAATTCAGATCAATTAATTTCATTAATTCATACATACATGTTTCGCACTTTCTCCTTTCCTTTTTGTTCTTTTTTTTTCTTTTCTTGCACCGATTTTCTATTGTTTCCATGATTGATTTATAATTTCATAATCAATACTGACAAAATTGTTTAGTGCTTTCGACAAGTAATCGATTATTCGCTTACATTCTTGTGTCATTAGGATTCAGTAATCGCTTAACTTCAGCAAATTTTCTAGTCTTCTTTGCTTTTCCCTATGGTATTGTGAGAATTGAATGGTTTTTTACATATTAAAATATTAAAGCAATAGGAACTTTGTTATAACGCAATACTTACCATCTTTCTAAAAGTTCAAATTTATCTGTTCTACACTTGTGTAATATTTATATATATAGTGTCACGTGAATTTAGTTATAAAAAAAAAAATCTTCGCTCATCAATGCTCCTTACGTTCTAAGTTTAAATACCTACGTATTCTCTTTATCGAATAAAGAGTCGGAATTATAGAATATTCTATAATGTCTCTGTACGGCGATTTACCTCCACCCACACGTTCAGCGCCAAATGCGGACAAAGAGGAAACTCAGCAGTCCTCTGTGGAGGCGCAATCGAGTCCGAAAACCTCAAAATCTGCTCTCCCAGGTACAAGCAGATCTGGCAAACCCTGAAAAAAAATTTTTGTTTTTATACCGGCTATAAACATGGATTTGTTTAAACTTTCTGATAGTATGTGCAAGTATAATCAATAAATCCAACTCAAAATCAAGTCACTCACCTCAATAACATTTCGCCACGAATGAAACGTGTGTGTCGAAAATGGACTTTTATCAGCTGGTTGGACTCCAGGAACGTTACGTTTTATGCCTACTATTCAACGAAAACCTGTCATTCAAGCAAAACCGAAGCTCAATCCAAAAATACAAGCTTCATCGTCTCAGAATGCAACGACCCCTTCGGCTTCTTCGAACCAAGCCTCCAGTTCGACGTCAAGCTCAAGCATTGTCGCATCGTCTTCTCTTCAACCTTTCCCTAGCGAAAGTGGCCCAATTGTACCGCCTACGTCCGTCGTGACCTCTTCTCCCAAGCAGCCAGTTGTTTCGGATGAATTAAACGAACATAAACCAGCAGCATTTAACAGTCAACGAAATCTTCGCAGTTCTTTTGAAAAAGTGAGACTTAGAATTCTGTTTTGTTTTTTTTTAAAAAAAAAAAACTTTATGACTCTGTTATCATCAGTCTAATAACCATTACCTTTGTAGGGAAAGAAACCCATAAAAGGAGTTAAAAGGCAAGTACCATTGTCATACGAGGATGAATATGATCCCACGCGCCCGAACGATTATGAAGAATTTAAAGAGTTTGAAAAGAGACGCCGCGAAAATGAAGTATACAGGCTTCATGAAGAAAGAGTTAGGTCAAGATCAATGAGCGTTGATTCGGATAAACATTCACCACCTCGTAAGCCCTTTTTAAATATAATTAAGAACAACCTTATTTCTGTATATTTGATTTCGTTTAACTTTTTTCTAGGCTCTTTCCCTCCACCACCATTATTGTATTCGGATTCTCCTCCTTCTTCAAAAGCAAGTGAAGTTTCTGCAGATGCTCCAGTTGTACGTTCTCCTCCCGTTAAGCTAGATTTAGATATCTCTGGTGAAGAAGCATTTTTAAGAAGAGCGCGCTTGAGTAATCGTGTTAACGAGATCACTCAAAAGTATTTAACCATATTCATTATTAGTTTTCTTATTTTGGAGCAGTATGTGACTTTCCCTTTTTATCACACAGATCTCCTGAGTCTAAAGTTACACCACCGAACTCTGGCGAAGACTTTGCTCACCGTATGCTTGCTAAATACGGCTGGCAGGAAGGCCAAGGTATTTAATTTGTAACATAATATAGTAATAATTAATAGCTTTATTTTCTCATTAAGTCTATTAATTCCTGTACGTAGGGTTAGGGAAAAATGAGCAGGGTATTAGTGAACCATTGACAGTCCAGAAAACGGTTAAAGGTTCAGGATATATCGTCAACACATCAAGTAATTCTATAGGTAAAGAATTTTTTTTAATGTTATAGACATACATATATAAAATTATATAAACATAATTGTGTAATGTTTATTTTAGCGAAAACGGATACTAAACCTATACCTAAGGCTGAACAAGTTTCTAAAGCTGTTCCAAATTATGAAGTTCCGTCAAGAGTGATTATGCTTACAAACATGGTAAAGAGGTTCCTCTAATAATCATACTTTCATTTTTTCCATTAATTACCCATCTAAATTTATCATGTTTTTAAGGTTGGTCCTGGAGAAGTTGATGACACTCTTCAAGAAGAAACAGCGGATGAGTGTAATGAAAAATATGGAGCGGTAGAGCGCTGTCTTATTTTTGAAGTATGTAAACATACGGATTGATTCTAGGTGTAGATCAGCAGCATGATAACGTAATATCTTTAATTTTGGGATCAGGTTCCTCACGGAAAGTTACCAGATGATCAGGCAGTGCGAATTTTTGTTAAATTCGTGGATCAGGTCGCTGCATTAAAAGCAAAAAAAGATCTTAACGGTCGGTTCTTTGGAGGCCGCGCTGTTTCTGCCAGGTTCTTTGACGAGGCGAGGTTTGATAAACTGGATCTGGCTCCTTCACCAGCCGAATTCCAGATGGTTTGACAAAAGGAATCTTGAATAACCGGCCTCCCAATTATCTTTGGTTAGTTCAATTAAAAGGATCATTTTAAAAGATCCTTTTTGTTATATGATGCACTTGGTGCAAGGAAAGGAAATGAGTTTTGAGACTTGATGTTATTATAATAAATAACATTATTTTATATAGTTATTTCGGTTGCGCTTTGTCAGAATTTATATATTAGTTTGCGAGGAAATTGATTTACAAATATTTGATATAGGATATTATTTTTTTCTTCAATAAAGTATTCTTTTAATGATCGATTAATCTAAATATTGTTATTTTGGAATTGCAAGCCAATGAATTTATTTTACTCGTTTTGATTTAATTACCATAATAAATTTAATATAATAGAAGTTTATTTATCGATTGGAACATTAGTTATTCATTCATTAATTATTTGTTTGTTAGTATTATATTCTCCTAAGAGTTTATTAATAAAGCTTGATTTTTTAAATCGAAATTATTATTTTTATATAAGTGAATGGATGTAATATTATTTTTCAGGAGTTTGAACCTTTGGTCACTTTTATATAAATTTGACAAACTTTTATATTACTTAACCTTTATTATATTTTTATGTAGTTTCATATAATCTTATTGATTCTTTTTTGTGAAATCTTATAGTATCTTTGAATACAGTATATCTTTAAATCTTTATATGATCTTTGTGATACCTTTGTTAATTCCTTTGTATAGTTCTTTCAACAATCTTTATAATATTTTGTATGATTTTTATAAATCTATTATTAATTCTATATAATTTTAGGTGAATTTTTGTGAAATACAACAAAGAAAAGAAATTTACTCAAGAAAAGTAAAAAGAAAAATTTTTCTTAAAAAAAATTTTTAAGAATGAAATAAAAAGATATTTGCTATTATCAAATATAACATTTCATATTAAAAAAGTTATAAACGAGATATTGTTTATTATTAATAAAAAAAAACTTTATTAAATTAAAAAACAATCAGATAACTTTATTATTTTTCAAAAAAAAAAAAACTTCTATATATTATATATTTCCAATATAAATAATTAAAATAAAAATATAAAATATAATAATATATTTATTTATTTATTTATTTACCACAAATAAGAATAAAATGTAAAACTTTATTAATTAAATGCTAATTCTGTTATTATATTAAACATTTATTTAAGTTAATATTATTCTATTGCATATACATGTATAACTTTTAATATAATATTATCAAGTAAATAATGTTACATCAAAAGTAAGGATCCTAACGATTCTCTTCGATTCTGTATTCGATTCTCAAGTTTATATTAAATTTAATATATGGGTTATACCCTACCATTATTTTTAATAGTGTTTCGAACCTTATGTAATTCTCTGCAATTCTGTTTAATTTCAATTTTTAGAACTATAATCAAAAGTGATTTATAAATAACTTATACCTATCTATAAACAGCTAAGTTAATGCAGGTAGTAAAATATTTTTATTTTAATATAGAAGATTTTCAGAAAATTGATTTTGATTAATAGATTTTTGATATATCTTTATATATTGTTATTGTTATTTCTAACAGGTTGATACTAGTTTGATTTTAATTAAATTAAAGTATTAGAGTTTAACTGATTATTGAAATTATATAGATTGTTTGAAAGAATTGAGCTAATTTTGATTTTTAAGTTTAAAAAAAATTTTAATATTATTGATGCAATGAAATATATTATATAGAAATTGTTTAAAAAAGTTTTGTTAAGACAAGTAAGAGAATTCATAACTTTATTTGAATGTGTTTTTAGGAGAAGTTTAATAATATTGAAAATAATAAAAAGAAAAAAAAGAAAAAAAATAATAATAATGTATAAAAACAAAATTAAAAAGAAACTCTGTTATAAACCTTTTTCCATATAATTAAAAAGTAAATAAAACTTTTAAACTTGTTTAACCTTTGATCAGAAATCCTATTCCAATACAATAATAGTTCTTTAAGTCCTTATATTGAGCCTATAATAAAATTAGTATTGTGAGAAGAAGAATAAAAACAATAGTAATGTAATTGGAGTCACGTGATCAACAATCAATCCAGGATTGTGAGAAAAAAATAAAGATAAAAATAGATCTGAAACTGTTGCTAAAAAGAAATAATAATAATATAATTAGTATTAGATTAAATAATAACACTAGAATTATGAAAAAATTCTTTTATCTTTTGTTATATTTCCAAATTGTTCTTAAAATTTTCTTGTAAAAAAAATATAAAATATTAGTATTTATTCTTTAAAAGAAAGGAAAATAAATAGTAGTAACTAAAGAAAATTAATAAAAAAAAACTATTTACCTCAATTAAATCGTATGTCTTGCCAAAATCATTCCTGGTCACAGTATATAATAAAATAATTTTATTAATTCTTTAAAGATTATATATACTGTATATAATAATAATGAAATAATGAAATATATAAATTAATATTTTATTTAATAATTCTAACATTTTTATAATTTTATAATAATAATTAAAAACATTAAAAACAAAACAATATAAAATTAATTAAAGATAATAAACTTTATTAACAAAAATTTATTCTTGAATGCTTTAATTAATAGATATAAATTTTTATTATTTTATCTTAAAAAAAACTACAATTAACTTTTTTTTAAAAAAAATTAATAAAAAATAATTATATTATATTTATTATAAGGTTATCAATATAAATAAAAATTATAGTTATCAATTTCAACTAGTATACATATTTTATAATAGAGTATAATAATACAAATTAAAAGCTATCTATAAAGTAATTATCAATATAAATATTAATATATAAAGTAAGCTTATGCCTAAACAAAAGCTATATCTTGCTTAATATTTGTATCTTTAGATTTTGCAGCTCATACTAATCAAAAGTCTTTGGAGTGTTTACTAAAAGATTTAGAAGTTATGTCTTGCTTGATTATTTGATCTTCAGATTTGATAGTCTGTATTATATATGTTGTTGAAATTTATAGATTCTTAATACAATTTATACAATTATTTGATACAATTAATTTTTTTTTTTTAATAGTAGAATGACATTAGATATAGATTTTTATTGTATATTCTTAAAATATTCTTACAAATTTGATATAATTAATTAAGCCACTATTTAAACATATAAATAATTAAACATGATACAATTTTTTTTAAGAATTTTAAAGATTAGGTCAATAGCAAATAATTTATGCAACATATATAATCTGTACTATACATATAATAAAATTGAATTCAAATATTTTTTAAAAACTATATTATTAATAAAAATATAATAAATTAATTAAAAATCATATTTAATTAAGAATTACTATATATAATAAAGATCAATAATACAATTATATATATAGTCTATATTAATCAAAAAATTTCTTTAAAGTATTTATTAGAAAGTATTAATAAGATTATAGACAAAAATGTTACAAATCTTCCTTTTTTGGAAATTTTCTTCCCTTTCTCTTTCTTTTCTTCTATGCAAGATAAAATCCTAAGCACGATGAGTCTGAGATGTGCTAATACTACATAAGGCTCCTCTAACTGTCAAGATTTCATATTTAGGAGAAGCAATCATATTTAGGGAAGCATGGGTAGACCAACTCCTGTGTACAACAATAGTTTGAAACAAGAACTAGGAAGGTTTTAAGGCAGCCAACCTTTTCTTTGTGAGACTTTGTATATGACTGGTAATCACAAACATAAGAGCAGTTTATTTTTTTTTCTTCCTTCTTCCCTTATCCAAATCTTCTTCCCTGCTGATAAACAGTTTCCCCTTTACCTTGAAGGTTTTCTTTCTAAGCTTCTATTTCTTTTGCCATTCCATATCATTAACCTTTTGATTTGTCATCTTCCTATCTCAACCAAGCTATTTACTTTACTCAAGTTAACATCTTACTTGCTTAAAAAGTGTAGACTTCTTCTTAAGATTTCTTCTCTTGTTCTAAAGAGCTTAACACAGAAAAGGTCAACTTAGTTTTACTCTGATTGGAAGGTCAGGATCATAAGAATGTCATTGGTCTCATTATCCTAATATATATTAAGCCAGTCAAATACGAGAAGAGGTTGTGAAAGGAGGAAATTTAACTGGCAGTACCAATCACATAAGAATTTGCTTTGCTGAGAGCCTAGACTGCTAACCAGTGTGTCAAAAGCATGCAGTTATGAGCAACTCTATTTTGAATACCTGACAATATCACTATTCTACACATTACTCAAGAATAATGACCACATGACTGTCTTCTTGTTTTATCTAGCTTCCAAATTTTTTACAACAAAAAACCATGAGCAGCTTACTCCTATCAAAAGATCAATGTAAGCCAATCATGCCATATTGGTATCTAGGTCACCAATATGGACAGAATCATTGACCCTTAATCATATTATTTTTGCCAATATAGTTATACGAGTCCAGGCCACAATCCAAAACCCAAGTATCACATCACCCTTTATCATTACCACTTATGAAGCACATATGCAGGATTTATAATACAACTAGTAGCTAGCTATTTTCATCTTTTTTTCTTTTTCTTCTACTTGGATTCTCAAAGGTTCACATATGTCAACTTTAGGAGTCATTTTGACCAAGCAGAGCACAACTCCTATGTACTCTGTCTCGCCGCATGGCTAACCGTGTCATCACATGATTGCACTGGATTGGCGATCTCTTTAAGGCTTTCTACTTAAAAAGTATTATTAATTAAAGCAAATATTATTAATTTAATTTAATATTACTTATTTTAAGTTTATTTATAGAATTGTTATTAAACAATTTTATTCAAAATATAATATATATTTGAAGAAATTTATAATAAATTTGATATACTGTAATTGTTTATTGCTTATTTTTGGCATTTTATAATTATTATATAAATTATTTAGTAAAAAAATTATTATTTTCATTATATTTTACAATTCATTAGCAGTTAAATAATGTGAAAGGCTATTCAAACCCTTCTCTATTACTAAGATTTTTAAAGCTGAGGTATA